ACGATTAATTTGTCTCCGACTTGGAAAGAAAAAAGAGAATCGTAAAAGGAAAATGTAGATGAAATCACGGCCGAAAAAGAAAGAAGTCACATACGTTTTTATGCGTTACCTTTTTCACCCGAACAACTTATCGCCAGTTACAAATCGCGAGCGTTTGCATTTTAACTGTTTCACAGCTGACGCTGCTAACGCTCTCCAATAAATACGAAATTTTGTCTTTGGCGAGAACAAAGACTCGTATACAATTCTGACATTCAGCATTTATTTGGAAGTCAGCTTTCTTTTTACATTTGAATTTAAGGCGAGTGTTTTCTTTTATCTTTGAATTATGTGACAATTCTCGGTCGAAACAGAATAGAATTTTCTTCGCAAAATCCATGCAAACGATGATATTAAATCTTACACATTTTTTTAATAAGAGATACCTTCGTTTCACGTCATTTGACTTCGCGGAAAGCGGCGAAAAAATGCAAGTAAAACAAATATTTGTCGTAAATTTTCTCGATGGAGACGACTTATTAGCGGTTAACTCCGCAACTTTCCTCCGTAACTTTCCTTTTTTTTTCTCTCACCGAAGTTTTCCCGCAGCAAAGAGCCGTACGAATCCTAAGGGAATTCCCCGCCTTTGCTGCCGGCGATAACCATGTTAATGCAATTTCTTGATAGTTTACGGAAACGGTCCATATCCTCTTACTTCTAGCGTGCCAAGTCGGCAGTCTCTCGCGTGTTCATACCTCTCTTATCGCCCTTCCCTCGCGCATTTTTTCGTACTTTTCCTTTCGTTCCATTTCCCCTCCACAATTCTTTTTCTTTGTCTCGCTACGTACCGGCATTTCGGGCAATTTCGCATCTCGCTCATCAATCTTTTTGCTGTAAGTCGATAATTAATGTTTATTGATTTATCCGATGGAAAACTCTGTCTACGTCCGCGATTATTATTTAACTATAGGTGTCTATAAAATGCATGCAACTTCGAGATCACTTATGTTACCGTGGATCTTCCTTAATGCATTAATTAATGCAATTTGCACCAATTATCCTGTACATCGACTTAGACGCTGAATTTAAATGAAGCCGCTGGGGAGGCAAATCAAGTTACTAGCTCACCATTTCTGTCTCTTACGCGCGAGAATGGTATGCCGAGTCATCACTTCTCACTTATTCTCTCGCCTGTTTCGAGGCGCACTCTATCGCGGTTCGAGTGCATAACGCCTTGTTCCCGGGCGCAGACTGGATCTCTTTAACTCGACCAAACTTCGCCAATAGAAACTCGCGTTAGCCAAGTCTGACCTAAGACTCGTGCTAGATCGGGATTTAAACTAGCAATTCAAGTTGTGTTGTTGACGCAACTGGGAACTTTGGTACAAAGTATAGTATTATGCCGCCGAGGTGCTCTCTCTTGTGAAACAATTGATAAGAGACTAAAAAAAGAAAGCCGCCGCCAATAAAAGTAAATTCCATATCTGTTTTAACAAAAGGAACGCATTGGAGCCGAGCGGCCAATGCTCCAATTATATATCAATTAAAGCGTTGGCAATCCCTTTTTAGGGTACTTCAACATCGCGGAAATTTTTCGCTGTAAACGTCACGATTTGTATTCTTTAGTCGCTCTTGTTACGAGACTTTAATTGGACGAAACCGGTCGCTTGGAGATAACTAACGTGAATGTAACGAATGGTAGCTACATCGTCGCTGGTTACGGATTTTGATGCATCCGGTTACCGAAAGCGTGCTTGAATTGCAGAAATCGTTAACGAGATGGCACGATCGAGATGTCTTTCAACCTTTTCCCATGTGTATTTGAAATATTACGAAATAAATTGACGTCAACGTTTGTTTCAGTATACATGTAGACCACAATGCTTAGCAAATAGATATACTTGTCTGTTTATCTGATTGCATTTATGGACGAATAAATCATAATTTATGTACAATGTAATTTATGTATAATTTGTGTACGAAAGATTAATGAGACGTGTGTTGATTTGAAATGTATGTACATATATGACATATTTACCAAGAAAAATTTGATCGTGTAGCATCGTGGAAACAAACTTTTGCATTAAATCCTGATTTTTTCATCTTCTGATTAAATTTAGTTAAATTGTGGTTTAGATTTAATATGATAATAATACATATTATATATAAAATTAATTTTTTTATACTATTTAATTTATTAATTAAATTTATTTATTAAATTTTATTAATGATTAATCATTAAAGTGATAATTTTATAGAAATAATTTTAAAATTATAATTACAAAACCATCAGTTTAATAATTAATTATAGATAGCAAAACATAATGTTTACATCAAAATCAGATATAATAAGATTTGTAGTACCATAAATTAACCAGAAATTGAAAACCAAATTGTTAGAGACATAATCTATCGTAAAATTAAAATTGTATTATCTTTTTAATTTAATTATCTTAACGTAATCATTAGATATACGAGAAAAATAAATAATACCGTTTGCAGTGGAATGATGTAAATGCTGCGAATAATACATATCAATATCTACAACTGCAAGTGTAACGGTATACCTATCGCGGAATGGCAAGATATTCTTGGGAAATAAGGCTTTTAGATTCTCTTAAGAGTAATTTGATGCATCGTAGTCGAATGGATTAAGTATCGGAATGGCGATCTGCAGTTTTCCCCTGTTCCTCTTTGTCTACTTCTTCGTCCTCTTCTTCTTCTTCTTCTTCCCCTCTGTGGAACACGATTCAAGGAACTTTAAGAGTAATAGATAGTTTTAGTTCGGTATAAACTTTCACCGGATAAGATGTCCAGGGCTTTACGATAAGACCTGCTTCGAGGTATTCGCGGTTGTCCTTAATACCCTTGGAGAGGTATTAATTCTTCAATTATCGGGATAGAATGCCCGAGGTGTAATAAACTCTCTATTCAGTTTATCAATGCAGATTATATATTGCGCCGCGAGAACACAATCCTTGTGCAAGTTTCGAGATATTCTATTATTATAACAGTCGCGCGGAAATGAATTGATTAATCGAAATTACATTGTAATCCAAACCTTATGTAAAAATTATCGTTTAATGAACATTTTGTTGTATTTTATTGCAACAGGTACGTATATTTAAAAACCGAGCCTTCCCACGCAGAAACGAACGGATGGAATTTTTAATTAACATTATAAGCTTTACTATTTTACTTCTGCGTAATCACGTGAACTGCAATAATTTTATGAATCTGTATGTTTAAATGAATTTTAAACTCACGCATATGAAATTTTTTCATTTCCTACATTATTGCAATAGTTTGTTTGCGTAACACGTAGGAAATGCAACGGTAATTCGAATAAGCAGGACGATAAGATGTCAAGCGTTGGAGCAAGTGGTTTGGATCAAGGCCCTTGCGAGAGCCATGTGTCACGCGACGTTAAGGAGTAGAACTGCACGTGCGGCACGTCAGACACGTGCGGCCCATACTGCATGCAGCCGAGTTTTAATTCCGACTGCAAACCAAGTGGACCGGATGGCTACCTGGCCTCGTTACGCGCGTTTCCCCATGCGCGTTTAATTAATGTCAATTTCACGGCGATCGCAATTACGTTTTCGTCTTTCCCTCGTCGCCCCTCCGCGGCACTGCTGCGTAGCTATATACATATACACATAGTCATATATGAACAATATATATCTCGGTTCCGCGGTGAGGCGGAATTACGAGCGATCTAATTTATCGGTGGAAACGCTTATAAGACGCGTTTCCTGCAATTTCTGCAATTTGCCGATCCCTTCGCAGCAGCTAATCCAACTATTTTCATGACTTTTGCTACTTCTCCCCCCCCCTCGCCGCCCGTCCTTCTTTAGCTTTTCCTCCGTAAGACTCTATTCGGCATTCAGCAAGACTTCTTAAACTACTCGCCGCGCCTCGGTACCGTTTCTTCGGCAGAGTACAGCAAATTTCTTGGAAAACAGAAATTTACACTGAAGTTGTATTAAAATTACGTTGAAATAATACTTTGTGATATTTAAAGTGACAAAAGTTTGTCATTTTCGCCTACTTACAGTCCTTGCTTGGTTTCGCTTTCGCGTTTCAAACGATAAGCATTAAGAACATTCGTGTATTCTCAGTTTGGAAAGCCCTAAAACTGACCAGATAGCTCGGCTATTAACATATCGGCATAATGAACGAGTCCTCGCGCACTGTCGCTTGACGAGGGGGAAGTGCTTTTAAATGTCAGGCACTTCGATCCGAACTGAGATTGGTCCAATTAGAGTCCTCCCGTAGAATTGACACGGGTAGTCGTAAAGGTTAAAACGTTTCTGCAAATGCGAAAGCGGGAATACAGAAACGTTTTCATGGAACGAGGGAGGCAAAGTAGGGAGAGAAGGAGGGGCGGGAAAGAGAGAGAAAGAGAGAGAGAGAGAGAGAGAGAGAGAGAGAGAGAGAGAGAGAGAGAGAGAGAGAGGCGGGCGAA